GGGGCTGCACTGCGGATAAAGGAGAGTGTCCCTCTGCCTGGTGTATGTGTGCGTGTGTGCGGGGCCCCCACCCCTCCGGGCTGCCCCCTGCTTCCCCCCCGCTGCCCTGCCCCATGGGCTGCCCCCTGTCCCATGGGCTTCCTCCCACTGCCCCCACAACCCCCTGCTGCAGGCTGCCCCCCGTCTTCCTCCACGACCCCCTGCCCAGCGGGCTGCCCCCCCCCGTCTACCCCCACACTCTCCTGTCCTTTGGCTGCCTCCATGACCCCCTGCCCGTGGGCTGCCCCATGGTTCCCTGCCCCACCTGGCAGCTTAGAAAGGGGCCCAGCAGAGTGGCAGGGACATTGGGGGTCTGGACCCTGCCGGGCAGCGGGGAATACTCTGTGCCCAGGCCCGCTCACCCAGTGAAGGCTGAGGGGTGCTGGGTCACCGGCTGTGCCAGGCCAAAAGAGAACGTGGCACTGCGGTCAGCCCTCTCCCCACCACCCTGTGCCAAGGCGCCTGGCTGGGCGCTGCACCACCGGCCGTGTGCTCCCTGCGTCAGGCCTTCGCTCCCCCAGGGGCTCCGGACGCCTGGGTTCTCGTTCTGGGCCCTTGGGCAGGGCCCTTCCCCCTCGGAGCCTCCGCCCTCCCCACTGCAATGGGCGACCCCCGCACCGGGCCCTGCCCCGCAGCTGGGGCCGAGGGGGGGTTGCCATGCAGGGAGCAAAGGCCCTGGCCTGAGGGACCTGCTGCTAGCAGCACCTTGGGGGTGTGGGGGGAGGACACTGCCCTGGGGCCTGCCCTGCCCTCCCCTCCCCTGGGACCTCCCCTGGGGCGTGCCCAGCCCTGCCCTGGGACCTGCCCTGCCCTCCCCTGGGGCCTCCCCTGGGCCCTGCCCTGCCCTCCCCTCCCCTGGGTTCTGCCCTGCCCTGTCCTGGGCCCCCAGGACACGCAGACGCCCAGCTGGGTTCAGTGCAGATGCCGTGTTTCATGGCGGGCCGGGGTTCGGGGCCCGGCTCAGCCGTCGCTGTCGGACTCGGTGCTCGGCAGCAGGGGCAGGGACATGGCATGCCGGTCGGGGTCCCCACGCCGGGGGGCAGCTGGCTGGGCGCGGCGCCTGGCGAACGGCCACTTCCCTGAGGGCAGAGAGGGGGCTGGTGTTGCAGGGCGCTTAGGGGTCCGTACTGCCCTAGGGCGGGCACTGGCTGGGCGCGCTTCGGCCCAGAGCTGAGGGGAGCCAAGCCAGGCTGCCAGCCGGACCCTGCCGGGGCTCCCTGAGATCCCCAGAATCCCCCACCCCTGGGCTGCCCTAAATAACCCCGTGCTCCCCACCCCCCCGAGCCAGGCGACCCCCGGGGCCGGGCTCAGTCCAGTGCTGCCTGCTCCGGAGTGAGGGCCAAGTCTGGGGCTGGTCCTAAGCTCCCCATTGCCCCCAGTGTCCCCAGCACCACAAGGGCCCCCCAGTGCCCATGGCCCCCACCCAGGCCTGGTTACCTGTCCCCCAGCAGTGGCCAAGGCTGGGGCTGGCCCTACGATCCCCATGCCCCCCCTCGAGCCCCACGGACCCCCAGCCTGTTACCTGTCCTGGCGGCCCTGCAGAAGGGGCTCTGGCCCTCGGGGCTGCTCTTGCTCTCGGCGGGAGGGGCCGGGGGCTCCGGCACGGGCAGCTTGAGCCAGGCGGCCCGGGCGGGCAGCGCAGGCCCCAGGGGTTTCTGGGGGCCAAGGAGGCCGCGGGGGCCGAGGGCGAACTTGAGGCAGCAGAAAGCGAGGGGCCGGGGCCCCGGCAGGCGCAGGGTGCGCTGGCATTGCCCCCGCCTGACGGCCAGCGCCAGCCCGCCGCAGTAGAAGACCTCATGCAGGAGGTAGAGGCTGCGCAGGCCGCGGAGCCAGGGCAGGTCGGGGCGCAGCGCCAGCTGGCCGGGGCGCAGGGCCAGGAAGGCCACCTTCTTGTGCACGCTGGCCAGCTGCAGCTGGATGTGGCAGGGGGCGCCCGCCACCAGCCGCGTCTCCTCGTAGTGCGCCTCGCCCCGCGCCCTGTATTCCCGCGTGCAGCACGCCAGCGCCCCCGGCTCCAGCCCCTGCTGCACCAGCTGCGCCAGCGCCCCCACCGGCACCAGGGGCCGGGCCCGCCCCAGCAGCCGCCGCGCCCGGCCCGGCTTCCTCACCAGCACGCTCAGCAGGTCGTAGGCCGCCGCGTCCTCCAGGAAGGGCACGGGCACCGCGACAGGGCCAAAGCGCTCCTCGACCACCTGCTGGGACAGTGCCGGTTGGAGGGGCTGGGGACGGGGACCCCTCGTGGGCCACCGAGCCACGCGCAGCCCGAAGGAGGAATGGCTGGACTCCCCCCTCGCCCGGCCCAGAGCCGCAGCCCCTCTGGGGTGGGGCAGGGGGGCTGGTTCTATGAGGACCCTGCAGCCAGTGGTGAAATGTGACTGGCTCTGGTGTAGCGTGCACTGGCTGGTTATACGGGGACCCCTGGCTCGGCCCGGAGATGCGGCTGGCTCTGGGGTGGTGCATGGGGGGCTGGTTATATGGGGACTCCTGGTCCAGCACTGAGATGCAGCTGGCTCTGGGGTGGGGCACAAGGGCTGTTTATGACCCCTGGCCCGGCCCGGAGATGCGGCTGGCTCTGGGGTGGGGCACGGGGGCTGGTTATACGGGGACCCCTGGCCCGGCCCGGAGATGCGGCTGGCTCTGGGGTGTGCGCCCAGCACCACAGTGGTGCTCTGCCCTCAGTGCACCTCAGGGGCTCCCTTCCCAGCACCGAGCAGCCTTGGTCTAGGCTCCCTCCGGGCTGGACGTGGGGCTGGGCATGTGACCCCCCCCACAGGCAGAACCTGGGCTGTGGCCCCCGCCCCCCGCCAACCATGCCCCCACCTTGTCTCTGATAAGCGCCCAGTTGGCATCGGCCTCCCCGATCTCCAGTGCCGAGGGCCCGCTGTCCGCCATGGTGGAGGGCCGGGCTTGGGGCTGCACTGGCCCTGCTCGGAGAGCCTAGGTCTGGGGCCCAGCTGGGTGTGGGGCCAGGCTGTGAGGTCACAAAGTGCTGCTGGCTCCATCACCCCCTCCCCCCCGCCTCAGGGCACTGCCAGGGGGTGCCCCCTGTGGGGGGACGTGGCTGGTGCCCTGGGTGGGGGTGTGTGTGTGTCAGACCCTGCTGTGCGCCCTGCTCTGGCACTGTGCGGCTGGGGACCTGGGGATGGGGGAGTTCCACAGGCCACTGGGGGCGACCGGGGGGGGGGGGGGGGGCTGCAGCGTTGGGTGTGGCCCCCCCAGGCTCCTGGCCCCAGTTGATGCAGGCCGGTCGGCACAGGGGCCACAGTCCCATGGCCCGGGGCAGGCAGGGTCACTGGGTCCCCGCCCCACGGCTTGGGGGCTGCAGCTGGAGCCAGGCCCTGCCCCCGCCCCATGGCACTGCTGTGGGGATGGGGCGCAGCAGGTTGGGGACAGGAAGGGAGGGAGCCGGGGGGGCAGCTCCCAAGGGGGAGGGCAGTTCACGGGGGGGGGGGGCTGCTCAGCAGAGCATCTAACATTGCTGTGGCAGGAGCTGGAGTCTGTTTCGTGGCATTTGGGGTGATTTGGGGGGGGTCACAGCTGGGGGGGGCGTGCACTGGGGTGGGGGGGGGATGAGGGGGGTGCTCACCCCTCGTAGTCAGTGACAGCCCCAGACCCCACAGTCAGACTTTCACCTGACCTCCCAGCTGGGCCTCCCCTGGGCGTGTCCACGGATGGCAGTGGTTAACCAGCCCCCCGCCCCCGCCCCACCCCAGAGGTGGCTGCGCCGGGCAAGGGGTCCGTGTCTAACCAGCCCCCCGCCGCACCCCACCCCAGAGGTGGCTGCACCGGGCGAGGGGTCCGTGTCAAACCAGCCCCCCCCGCGCCCCACCCCAGAGGTGGCTGCCCCAGCCCCGGCAGTTTAAGGCCCATTCCCAGCAGGTGACGCTGGGCGGTGGCTCCCCCGGGGGCTGGAGGTGCAGGTGCTGGAGCTGGGTGCAGAGGACACAGCTCGGGCAGCCGGGCTCCCCCTGCCCCCAGGGGCCGGCAATGCCCCCACACAACGTGGGACTCCCGGCGCCAGCCTGGGGCGCTGCCCGCGGGGGCCGGGGTGGGGCTGGGGGAGCAGCTGCCCGGGGGGACTCAGGCCCAGGATCCAGCACCCGGAGCCTGGCAGGAGGGAAGAGCAGGTGCCCAGCCAGGAGGCTCCCCCCGCCCAGCTCATGGGGCCCCTCTGTGGGGCAGCGCCAGGTGTGAATGGGCCCTGGGGCGGTGCGGGCGTCGCTGAGAGCCAGGGCCCATGGCGGCAGAGGGGGCTGGGCAGGAGGTGGCCACCCTGGGCTCCCGCCAACCGTTGTGCGGCTCCCGGTGCCTGCCAGGCGGGGCCCCCACAGCAGCATCGGGCAGGCGGCCGGGAGGGCCCCAGCCCTGTTCCTGACTCTGCCCTGGGCCCTGCAGCCCACACGCCGTGGGGCCCGTCCAGCGGGGCGCGGCTGGGCCACCATGGGGACAGCGCAGGGGCTAGGCCGGGGCCGTGACCCCCCAGCCAGGACAGCGTGTGGCCCCCGCAGCACCACGGGCCTCCAGTCGGCTCCAGCCCCGTGTGAACGGCCACCTGGTGCTGGGCCCTGCCCTGTCCCCTCCCTGCCTGTCCCAGCTCTGCGCTGCTCCACCCAGCCCAGCCCGTCCTGTCCCCACCCAGCCCGTCCCATCCCTGCCTGTCCCAGCTCTGCACTGCCCCACCCAGCCCAGCCCGTCCTGTCCCCGCCCGTCCCAGCTCTGCCGTCCCATCCGAGCTCTGTCCAGCCCGTCCCATCCCCACCCAGCCCGTCCACGGGCGCCAGTCGTAGCCACCGGCCCCGGGACGCGTCTCCATCTGTTCTCTGCTGGGAATGTTGCCCAGGCCTCCCGGCCGTGGGGCGCGTGGAGCGAGTCAGGGGCAATGGGAGGGGGGGGGTTCGGGGCCCACGAGCCCATTGCATGCCGTGGGGGGGGGCTGGCAGATGCCCGTCGGGGGGTGCCAAGCAGTGACCCCTGAGCAGCTGGTGGGCACAGCCCAAGGGAGAGGCACTGGCTGGGGGAGGGGAGGCTTGGGGGGGCTCTGCCCCCCACCCAGGTGCAACCCCTCCCCCATGACTCTCCCAGGCCCCTCCTGGGCAGTGGCTGAGAATAACGCGGGCGGGGGGACCCGGTACCAGAGTGACCTGCCCCCCAGCCAGCCTTGACCCTCCCCAGTTACTGACCCCCAGGCGAGCCCTCCCCTCCTCCCCACCAACACGCCAGATCAAGGTTGTGGGTATTTATTACAGAAAGTTATGCAAATATATGCAAATCAGTGCAGCCCCCAGCCTCCTGAGACATTGTAGCAGCACCAGATACAGCCCCGGATTGTGCAGGACCCAGGCGACCGGGTCTGGTGCCGGGGGGGGGGCAGCCTGCCCCCCCGCTGCCCCTCACTCCCGACCCACAGCCCCTGCCCCCTGGCTGCCCCTCACTCCCGACCCGCAGCCCCTGCTAGCCCTGCCCTGCCCTCCCCAGCCCTGCCGGTGCCCCTCACTCCCGACCCACAGCCCCTGCTTGTCTCTGGCCACCTGGGTCACTCCCCACAGCAGCTAGGCCGAGGACGCCCCAGCCCTGGGCACAGCCCCCATGTCCCTGGCAGCTTGTCCCAGCCAGCAGCCAGGGCAGGTCCCATCTCCGTGCGGCCAAGTCTCTTGCCCCATGGGGCTGTTCTCCTTGGGCGGCTCCGCGGGGGGCAGTGAGGGGCTGTGGGGAACAGGCTGGAGCATCCCCTGGAGTAACCCCGGCCCACCCGCCCCGGGCGCTAACCGCGCTCCATCCGCCAGCAGCACGTCCGGCCCCCTGGCTGCCTGGCCCCACAGCCAAGCAGGAAGACAGTGGGGAAGGGCCAGCCCCAGCCCCTCCCCCCTAGCACTGCCCCCCGCCTCTGCTCCCTTCACCTTCACAAAAAGAAGAACAGGAGTACTTGTGGCACCTTAGAGACTAACAAATTTATTAGAGCATAAGCTTTCGTGGGCTACAGCCCACTTCTTCGGAGAGTTGGTAAGACAACTCCCACCTGTTCATGCTCTCTGTATGTGTGTATATAT